CAACCTCGTGTGGAGTCTCCAAACCTAGCAGATCCCTGCTGCGTGCTCTTGCACTGCTTCTCCCGAGGGAAGAAGGAGAGTCTTCCTGGATCTGCCTCTTGTTGGGTTCCTGCTTCCAGAAAGTGGTCGCTTTTCTGTTCAGATAGTTGCTGCTATTCTTTTCTTTGAGTTGTAGGTGTTCAGAATGGTTTGATCCCTGTGTAGCTGAATTCCTAGGACCAGCCGAAATTTACGTCTCCTACTCCTCCACCATCTTGCTCCTGTTTTACTTTTTCTATCATGCTTTTAACTTCACAGAGGATTCATTTTGTTCTCAGAATGATTTTTATGTGCTCCTCTTCTTGCTTTGTGGATTGGAGCTTTCCTCTTACAAGGTTTTATTCTGCCTCCCTGCTTTGTTGTTGCTGTTTTCCTCAAATTACTTGTTTTGGAAGAACTCCTGGGTGTGGTGCATAGGTGGGTGTGTGGGGGAGGTTTAAGTGTGACTCACTGGAGATAAGGAAGAGGACTTATACTCTCAGTATTCACTGTTTAGACTTTCACATAAATACCTTGTTTTGGGGATAGTACCCCTACCATCAGAAGTCCTGAGCATCCTGAGCTCAGCGTTCTCTTAGTTTGAGTGCTATTCAGCCCAAGTGTCTAGTCTTCTGCTGGGGCAGGGAACTGGCATACTGTCATGTAGAAGGTGTGAAGGATGGTATTTGAGAGTCTGACTTCTATCTGTGAAGACTATCACTTTGTTTTCCATCTCATCACCCTTTCTGTGGAAATCTTTGCTTCTTTACTACCAGCTCCTGTTTATATTTCTCTGGTTTCTAGGTCAGTCAGCATGTGTTTCCCAGCTTCTTAAATTCGATGGTTCTTTTTTCCTCTCACATCTTCTTTGTGCTTTTTGATTTATGCCTATTTCATACTGTATTTTTACTATAGTAGCACTTCAGTAGAAAGCCAAGGTAGAGAGGTGTGTTCAGTTCTCCCTATTTTGCATGACCCCACTATGATTTTAAATTAGGAAAATAGGCTTATATCTGAAAATCAAAATCCTAGAATTTCTCTCTCTTATTCAGGACCAAAGGAAACTTTGATTTTTTTATTTTGACTTGGTCAGATTTAGAGTACATTTTATTTAGTCCTCAATATATGTATGCAGTGTTTCTTATTGCTATTGTGATTGACTAGAACTTAAATTCCTCTAACTTTTTCTTTGATGAATTAGACATAATTCATAGACAACCATTAACCCCTGTTAATGTGTTTAGAAATTATTTAAAAGATGTCAGGACTTCTACTATAGACAGTAATGAACAACGTATTTTCAAAACGAACATTGCTACTGGGAACAACTAGAAAATTTGTATGTACTATTTTTTTTTAAACTAGTTGAAAGCTTCAGGGACTTGTCAAGGCATATTGGTTTTGTGGGTCAAATTTCTGGGAGAGGGAACCCTGGCTTTTGCCACTATTTTTAAATGGCAAATTCTTAAACAAGGCTGAGAAGCTAAGCAGTTTGAGGAGACTGGTCTTGAGGGAAAATAAAAAACAAAAGACCAAAACTTGAATTCCAGAAATAGATATATTGTTGTCTCTGTGGTTTAAAGTTTTATTTTATTGGCAATGTTGAGCACTTTATTTTGACTGGCCATTCCTGTATTTTCCATTTTTGAAATATCTGTTCAGTTTTTTTTTTGCCTTTCTTTATTTGGGTTGTTTGTCATTTTATTACTGAGTTATAGGGTTTGTCCATATATTCGAGAAATAAGCCCTTCATCAGATATATGTGTTCTGAAAAGTTCCCAAGTCTGGCTGGCTTGTTTTTTTTTTCCCTATTCTTTCTTTTCTTCATCTTTCTTTTTTTTTTCTTTCTTTCTTTCTTTCTTTCTTTCTTTCTTTCTTTCTTTCTTTCTTTCTTTCTTTCTTTCTTTTTTTGATGAGTAGAAGTTCTAAACCTGATGAACTTTAATTTACCTTTTTTTTTTAATCATTGATGGTTCATGTTGGCTTACCTTAAGGTTGTAAAGATATCTTCCTATATTTTCTTCTAGCAGCTTTATAGTTTACTTTAATGTTAAAGTTTCATTTTTTTCTTAAAAATAAAGTTTAGTTTAAACTTAAAATTTATTTTGACCTAATCTTTATGTTTGATGTGAAGTAAGTGCCAATGTTGAGTGCACAGTATCACTGGGGAAGACAATAAAACAGGTTAGTTTTAATTAATTTTATTTTTAATATAGCTGGTTATTGGTTTTTATTTTTATGTTGTTTTATTTTTTTTTAGAGGGGTTGGTGAGGCAGAAGGAGAGGGAGAGAATCTTAAGCAGGCTCAGTGCCCAGCATGGAATTTGCCCCAGGGCTCTGTCTCACAACCCTGGGATCATGACCTGAGCCAAAATCAGGAGTCGGATGCTTAACTGACTGAGCCACCCAGGCACTTCCCAGGTTATTGTTTTTTAAATGATGTTGAGAAACACACAGAATCATTAAGAGGGATAGAGAACCAGATTTGGAGGATGTTTCTCTAGGATCATTGATGAAATTAAGTGCTAAATTTTCCTGGGGAAAATCCCATTGCTGCCTCTTGGTGCACTAGCAGGGCACCCTTCATTGCCAGCACCCCTGACACATCCAGGACCCTGGTTGCTCTCTCTTCGACCACTGCTACTGCTGTTGCTCACATCACCAGGATGACTTTGGGTAGCCCCCTTTTTTCTTGGGTCACCAGCCTCTGATTGATCAACTGGGTTTTTATTCTGATTGATGGAGCCTGGGTCATGTGCAAACTCTACCTTCAAGTCAGGCCAGTAAAGACAAGGTATCTTGTGTTTCATCTGTTACTGTTTTGTAAAGTGTGGCTTTAAGAGCATAGGAAGAAGTTTCAGATGCTGCCAGAAATGAATGGCAGGTACCCCCATACAGAATCCACTTGTGTATATGTCTCTGAGCTCATGTTTCTGACAAGTCTTACCAAGAGGTATGGGGTTTCCCTATATCTGATCACCTAAAAATGGTCAGGCAGTCATTTATTACAGTAAGGATTCATAGAGTCACCAGTGCCCCTCATTCTAAAATACAGCTAGGCGGGGCACCTGGGTGGCTCAGTCGTTAAGCATCTGCCTTCAGCTCAGGTCATGATCCTGGGGTCCCGGGATCGAGCCCCACATCAGGCTCCCTGCTTGGTGGGAAGCCTGCTTTTCCCTCTCCCACTCCCCCTGCTTGTGATCCCTCTCGCTGTGTCTCTCTCTGTCAAATAAATAAATAAAATCTTTAAAAAAATAAAATAAATACAACAAAATACAGCTAGGTTTTTGTAAATACTTGCCTTGTTCGTGGTACTGAATCCATTCTTTGGTGTGTGAATTCTTGTCACTCACAAAGTGATGTTTCTATTTTCTGCTTTACTAGAAAACCTTGAAATGCTTAGGATCCATGTTCTGGTAGGATTTTTCTTTCTGAATTTTTCTCATTTATTGAGTGTATGAAAGACAGTAATCATTATGGTTTGCAAATAAAGATATTTAGGTCATTAGCCAGCATAACATTATGTTCCTTAATTCAGTGGGTACACATTTTCCCCATACATTTTAGCATCTTTAAAGTCTTTTTCCATTTTCCAATAAATAGACCATGATGATTAGATTGTAAGCATTTTTTCTATTAGTTGTATGCAGGCTGGTTATAGCATCTTATAAATAAACAATCATATCTTAGGTTGGTGAAATTATAATAATTATTTTAAATACAAAAATAATAATTAGTTAACAGATATATGATTAAGGTCATTGCACAATTATGCCTCCTTGTTATCAATGTCTTTATTTAATATTATAGACCCCAGACATCAAGATTCTCCCAGAAATTATACAAACCCAACAAAAACTCTCACTTCCACTCCTCTGTTTTAACAGCTGTGTCATTCTTCTCTGTTTATCTCAGAATGGCACCTGCAACCCCTTCTGGAGTCTTGGGGTGGTGTGTGAATTTATGAGGGAATCCTCTGGCCAGAGAGGCCCTCTGTCCTCCTGCTTTCCTGTGCTCACTACCACAGAGACAACACTCTCCTTTTCCTTACTTCTTTAGTTCAGAGTGGTTACCCTCTGAAAGTACATCTCAGATTACAACACATACACCATTATAACCGTGATAATAATGCATTTTGTGTCTTGTTGCCCTGCATCAGAAAAATTCCCTTATTTTGTACTAATCCTTTCCCATGCTGCTTAGCGATCAATCAAAACAACGGCTTATATTTGTGTAGTGACCTACAGCTTTTGCTGTGCATTTGTGTGTATCACCTCACTTAACTTTTACAACAAGTGTGTCTTATGACAGGGTGGTTATTCTCATTTGACAGATAAAACAGTGTTGGACTATGCTCATGTACTAGTGGATCGCAGATTCCAAATTTGGTTTACAGAACTCCGAATCAGTTTGTTTTTTCTTACTCACTCTGCCCTTTAATATCTGGACTCTGAATATCTAAAATTCGTTCTCTTCTTTTATTTTTGAGTTTTCATTTAATCTTATAATTAAAAAATTGAGCAAACAATGGTACCTTTTAGTGTTTTCTACATATATAACAAAAACTGTTTTGACCTTATATCTGATATTTAGTATTTTTATTAACCGACTAATTCATTCTCAAATTAACTTGAGAAATGATCCTACAAATCAATGTCTTTGAATAGGAAAGAATTGAAAATTTGCTTTCAATGGAAAGAAAATTTTATTTTATTTTTTAAAAGATTTCATTTATTTATTTGACAGAGAGAGACACAGCGAGAGAGGGAACACAAGCAGGGGGTGGGGAGAGGGAGAAGCAGGCTTCCTGCTGAGCAGGGAGCCCGTTGCTGGGCTCAATCCCAGGACCCTGGGACCATGACCTGAGCTGAAGACAGATGCTTAACCACTGAGCCACCCAGGCACACTTTGATAGAAAGGGAATTTTTACTACATTGATCTTACTCTCCTCTAATTTTTTTTTCAACACCTTTTATTTCTAGTTATGTTTCGCCTCTATGACACAGATGGGAATGGCTTCCTGGACAGCTCGGTAATTTTTTTCTTTAAATTTTCTGTGAAAATTTCAAAGTAGTTTGTTTTGAAAAATGCAATGAATAAATTTATAGCTATTACCACAGAAGACACACTTAATATAATTTCCATGCACTCACACAGCATTTTGATCATCTTTTTGAAAGAGTGATCTGAAAAAAAATAAATAAAACTGTAGGATTACAGTTGTTCTGTTGAATAATTTTGCTAGAAAAAAGTGACTTTTTATGCATGGAAAGATAAAAAAGACCCCAACTCCTTTGAATAATACATGAGAAAGTTGAGATCATTGATCTAGAAAGAAAAAAAAATTGAGCTTTGACACTAAGAAAAATAATAAGAATACCAGTAGAATTGAAGGGAATTATCAAGTCAATTTAATCATTTTATCATTTTTGCACATTTTAAAAGTTTTTTAGTCATATATGCTGTTAAAATACATACATTTACAAATTACTTTAACAAACTTCCCTTTTTAAAATGTCTCATCCAATTTAAATGCAACTTGTTCTCTGTCATTTAGTCATAAAAAGCAATAGGATAAAAATACCATCTCTATATGATTGAACTAAAAGGAATAATTAAATGTTTATTGTAACATACACAAATCCTTGATAGTTTTCAGAGCAGTAGTTAGATTCTTAGTTTTACTGCACAAATCAGTGCTTCGAATATAAATCGATTTCAGGTTCCATCCAATAATGCATCTTATATTTGCTAGTGACATATTTTCATATATTATTAATTCTTCTATAAAGAAAATAGAAGAATCTTAAAAAAATAATAAGTGTCAGGTTATGGAAATTTTGGAGTACACAGGTACATTAAATAGCAAATGTTTTGATACTTTTAAATTGATTAAAATGAACATTACTTCTGATAATGAGTGAGTTTCTCTCCTCATCTGATACATCTCCCTTTAGCAGAGCTCAAAAAGAATTCTACAAGCAAAGCAATGAAGTTGGATACATACTTATGTAACGCTGAGTAGGATAATGGCACATTAGCTTCTCCAGAGAGAGACAAAAATATATAATTCCTACTTTAGGAAATGTCCACCATTCTAAATTGATGCTGTGATTGTGGGATTCCTTATGTTTAAGTCTCTCCAATTTTTCAAACGCTATCATTTTTAAGTGCTTAGTAGTATCCAGTTATCCATTTAGGAATATTAAGCTACAGGATACATTTGCTCATTTTCTGGTGGCATTTCACAGCGAGGAGTTTAGACTTTTCTAGATATTTCCATATGTTTATTGTAGCACTTCTGAGTATACTACTGCAAATTATATTTAAATGCAAATTTGTTTTATTTAGTGTTCCTTTTTAATTAAATTAAAAGGATGTTTCTTTACTAGGCTTCTAGCCACGGGTTGGCAGCTGATTTGAAAATTCAGTCAAATTCTTTTTCTGGTTTCTGGCCATTTTTTATTGTTGTTAACATATAATACATTGCATTATTTATAACTGTCATCTAATAGTAAACAATAAGTTGGAGATAAATAAATTGATTTATGATTAAACTAGTCTGTTTTGTAATTAAAAACCTGAATTTTATTTCTATAATTTTCCCCAGACAACTTACCACTTCATTATATTTTCTTCATTATCGGGTTTAAATTGCACATTCTGATGTCCTTAATCTTGGAAATTTAAAGGTGTAGCACTTCACATAGTGGAGGCCAAACAGAGGAAAACTGATATTTTGAAAAATGACCACTATGTGTAATAAAACTAGTGAATATTTATTGATCCCTTGCAGTATGCCAGGCGGCATAAATGTATTTCATATCATAGCATGCTTACTCTTTGCAGCAACTCTGTGCAGTAGGTAAGATTAGAATACTCATTTTACGGATGAGAAAGCTGAGTCTTAGGTCAGATGACTTATCTAATGTCACATGCCTACATAAAAAGGGTTTCTGTTCCTAAAAACATGTCCAGGGGCTTTCACCACTCCAAACCATCAAGGCATAAACAGGCAAAGATAGAGTAACACCCACACACACAATTCTAACCTATAATTCCAAGATATTTTAGTTGAAATTTTTTCTTAACTGTAATAAGTAAATTTATATTTATATATTTGTATTTTTTATATTTATATTTTTGTATTTGTATTTATATTTGTATTTTTTTCTGGGGCAATCTGTGTTACCTAAACAACATTTTCATGATTACATTTTTTCTGGAGAGAGGAATGGAGCTTTCATCAGTTTCTCAGATGGATCCATTGTCCCCCAAAAGACAACCTCTTTTACCACATTTCCTTCTTCAATCTATGAATATCAATTACATATATTACATCAGAGATTTGAGTAGAATAATCTTTGATTAATGTGCTTTCAAACCTTATCCTTTTATACTTCTTATATTTTAAATTATTATACTGTTAAGACACCACATTTAATTATCTCAGTGACTATATTTAAAATTACTAGCATTTACGAAGTATATTTAATCTTTTCTGGAGATAGGGAAAAATTAAAGTATTAAAAATATAGGTATGAGCAAATGTTTTAATTTATTTGGTCAAGGCATATGTATTAACTAACCGTTCTTCAAAGAGTTGACACTTGAGCCCGATAATATGAAAATGCTAACTAAAATTCTATTTCCTCATAAAATAAACTCTATATGTACTTAAGCCTCCAAACCTTGACCCTGAACACACCTCTCACAGAGCAAATTATACCAGTTAATGGCTGGAACAGTAGATACACGTTCTCAGTGTATCAGAATAAAAATACACCTCTCAGTTGCCCTCAAACGCTTCCTTCCATCCTTCCACACCTGTTTCCAAGCCAAAGGGTCAGGACACTCGATGACTTAAATATCACAGCTTGTGAAAATATGCCTGCTCCTACTTCAATCAGATCTTCCTTTCTAAAGATAGATTTTCTTCTTTAAAAAAAAAAAAAAATCTGCTCTGGAAAAGCTTTTTTTATGTAGTTGTGCCCTCTTCTGGTGAAGATTTCTAGACAAAGTACAAAATAAATTTATATTCAAGTGCTTCTTTTATGTATAGTCAATCAGACTGTTGAAAGGATATATTATATATAAAAATTAATGCATATGTATAAATTAGATATAATACATAAATTAATCATGTAACTCTTAGTTTTTGAACTACATGTTAAACAATTCTTATAAGTCAAAGTTTGAAAAACTTACAAAGACCCTGTATTCATGTTTTCTCCCTTTTCTCTGTCTCTGTCTCTCTCTCTCTCTGTGTCCTCTCCAGGAGCTAGAAAATATCATCAGTCAGATGATGCATGTCGCAGAATACCTTGAATGGGATGTCACTGAACTTAATCCAGTAGGTATATGGACAATTTAACTGTTGCCTACATTCTTGAAGGCCCGTTTCTTCTCTTTTCTCTTTTTTGGAACCTCAATATACTACTGCCATTTGATATTTTCTTTTGATAACCCGAAGTTACTATTTCTATTCAGTAGCAAAAGTGGATTCTGAACAAGAAAAGGTATACGTGGTGTTCTGAAGCTCTTAGCAGTAACTTTTGCTTTTCTTCTTCATGGAAATTAATTTGAATGGCGATCTCAGATGTCTTTAGGTAAGCAGGAGCTGCTGGTGGATACTGTCAAGGTTATGCCATGCAACAAAATAGTCAGAATTAATGTATGTTACTCATGATCTCTATATTTTCCTTTTATGGAAATAGCTAAATATTCATTCTAAAAGAAGATGAAGTCACTTAAGATGCTGATGGTTGACTGTGTACACTGCACTGTGTTAGTTCCTGTATACGTGTTACTCAATGCTTGCAACTCTCTGAGATAGACACTACTATTTTATTCATTTTACAGATAAGGGAATTGGGACCCCAGCATGTTCAAGAAACTTCTCAGAGCTCTTCAGCTACTTAAAGATAGAGCTAGAAAGTTGTAATAATTTGTTTAAAGAAATGGTATCTAAGGAGGCTTTTAAGAACATAACAACTTCTTATTTTTAATAGATTTACACCAAATACATTATTCAAATGTATTTTAAAACATACTTGATTAGAAACTTTGACTTTCGCTACAAGTAATATTTTGGAGGGAGTTGATAAGTACGTTATTGACTAGTTTATTCTTGAAACCAACTAAGTTGAGCACATTGTAAATGAATTAAGTATATACAAATCAATTTTATTTAAATGGCTTACATTTTATAAGAATTTTAAAAGCCTGTAACAGCATGATAGTGGCATGATTATAGAATAGAGCCGTGGTAGCATTTCCTTTGCTGTGGAGACTAGTGCCAGGAAAGTACAACAAAGTTATATGCAGTGTCATGTATAAAGAAGTGGCACCATTCTTACTGGGATTGGGGTTTTCCAAGTTTTAACTCAACCGGTTTTTCTTTTGGGAGGATGTCGAAATACACCATGCTGTGCGCATAATGCATAGCAGATATTGTTCACAAAGTTGCAATTTGTATATGGAATAATAACTAATAGTGGTAACTTGTATTTAATTCTAAGAATACTGCTTGATTCATCTTAATACTGTTTGCCCTGAAATCAGGGGACTTCTTTTAAGTTCTGTTGCCCTTTTTGGTTATGTTTGTCTACACCAACTTTCTCCATCCTGCTCACCTCAATACCCGTGAATATTGTACATCTTTCAGTCAAGTCTCTTGCCCTCACTGGAGTGATGGAAGGAAGGAAGATGTTTTTCTATCAGTTTTCAGAACAGAAGGGGGCACCGCAGCTTCCCCACAAAAAATAGTGGGGGAGGGGGACCATACACTTGAGGAAAAGGGGGATCTGGGTGATTTGAAGAAGCAGACAGTTGGTGGCTAGGCAGTCTAATTATGACAAATACCTACTGGAAAATACAAATGATAAACTATATTGCATTATTTGTCATTTGTGGCACACATTGATAAATTTGCCACTTCTATGAGTAGTACAAATAGTAGAAAGTGAAGATGAAGAGATTTACGTTGGGTAGTATGTTTGCTGTCATAGTGACTTCGTCATCCTGCCTAACGGATTCACCAACTCTGCCCATTTTAAACCAGTGCATACATTTGTACACGTCGTCAGAGCCTTGATACATTTGCATATATGAATAAAGATAATTGAACGTTTGAGGTCCGTGGCAGTTAACAGGGAAGATTGAGACGTCCTTGGAAGAGGTTTTTAGAAAATGAGCCCACGCTCTCACATGAGATTTACTAGGTACAAAATGAAAGCATCAACCATCTGAAACAATGCTCTGTGTTCTAGTTCTCATTTGTTCATTCCTCCTAGTTCATCAAAGTGCGTTCAAGGGGCAGGGCGTTTTAAAAGATCCTGTACCATTTTGCCAAATTCTAAATCATATCCCTTGTTTTTCATTTTGAGAATAATAAAATAATTATTTCAGTACCATTTTGTCCCCAAAAGTCTTTTTCTCAATACCTATATTTAAATTTGTATGAAGGAAAATAACCTCATTTTCAAATACTTCATGAGGAAACACACCCATCCACGAAGTTCAAGAGTTTTTAGGCAAACAGCACTTCTATCAACATATCAAGTATTCCATTTATTGCACCTTTCAAATTTTGGTTCCAGTGCTCTCTCTCTCTTTTTTTTTTTTTCTGAATTGATGAAAATTTCTGTATTAGATAAAGGGGTGAGTTACTTTCTTTATTGAAGTTCTACCATGTTTGCCATTTTGGTGCTGTTGGATGAGAAATACTTCACCTTCCCAGCAATGAACGGTAATATGTTTGAAACTCACATATAGTTTCTGCTCATATAACATAACAACACCTATATGATACTTACTATACATGCTACATGCTCTTTGAGGATCTTTATAGTATATTAACACATTTAACCCTCACAACAATCCTTTGGAATAAATACTGATATTGCCACAATAAAAGTGAGAGATCAATGTATTACCAACAAACACTGTGGAGAACATTTTGGGACACTCTGTGCAAGTCATCTTTAAAGAGAAATCTAATCAAAAATGACTTGATGGTTTAACTTCTTGGCTTTATTAAGTTCTGATAGGCAATTAAAAGCAACTTAATTTCCCCACCCCTTACCACTTAGCAAAGAGTCATTTCAGCTCTTTGCCATGAAGTTAATTTGTTCAGACATTATCTGGCATACATATGAATTAAAAAAATCTAGAGAAAGCAATTAAAGACCACTTTCACCCTTAAATTAAAGATACTTTCTTGATTTAACTGTACCATTCAGTGACAAAGTATTAAAAAGTTAAGCAATTACTTCTAAAAGTTGAATAGTATGAGAAGTGAGGTTGTAGAAATCATAACAAAGCCACTCTATCGTCAGTTATTGGATTGACATTGTACCAGGTTACCTAGATATTTATCTCTACTCTGCACTTAGCTGCTAGTCAGTTTGTTATAACCAATTCAGTGCAATGCTTTGTTCTCTCTTATGAAATTTATTTTATTGATTCATAGCAAGTTTTCCTTCATGTCTTCTACTCCAGATCCTCCACGAAATGATGGAAGAAATTGACTATGATCATGATGGGACAGTCTCTCTGGAGGAATGGATCCAAGGAGGAATGACAACAATTCCACTTCTTGTGCTTCTGGGCTTGGAAAATGTAAGCATTTACACAAAGAGGGTGGCCTGGTGGTAAGTCAGTGGGGTTCTCTATTACACATTTTTTTTTAAATTTTTTTATTGTTATGTTAATCACCATACATTACATCATTAGTTCTTGATGTAGTGTTCCATGATTCATTGTTTGTGCCTAACACCCAGTGCTCCATGCAGAACGTGCCCTCCTTAATACCCATCACCAGGCTAACCCATCCCCCCACCACCCTCCCCTCTAGAACCCTCAGTTTGTTTTTCTATTACACATTTTGATTATAAATTGATCTGGCCATTTTCTATCATTAAGCATGTAGTGAGTGTCTGGACCTTTTAATAAGTATGCCACAAGGCAATTTAATAATAAGTCCTGTAGTCATCCTTGCCACAAACACATTGATTCATTTTAGGTGCTACCTTATTATTTAATACATAATTTCTCTCTTTTTTCTCTATTCAAAGTACAATCTAGTTTAAAAAACTATTGACCTTCTTATCATTTTATTTACTGCGAGAAACGCCCTAAAATTATTGCATTCTCTGGTTCTTGGGGGCTCTATCTCATTCCACAATCACCCTCCCCATGAAGAAAATCTGCTTTATTGATAACCAGTACTTGGAGAAGCCAATTATATATTGAGGTAGTTGAGAATATATAATATATACATATTATATATTGTGACATATATTTTATATATATATGAGAAACAAATTTTTCTTTTTTTTTAAGATTTTATTTATTTATTTGACAGAGAGAGAAACAGGGAGAGAGGGAACACAAGCAGGGGGAGTGGGAGAGGGAGAAGCAGGCTTCCCTCCGAGCAGGGAGCCCAATGCAGGGCTCAATCCCAGGACCCCGGGATCATGACCTGAGCCGAAGGCAGACGCTTAACAACTGAGGCACCCAGGCGCCCTGAGAAACATAAATTTTTCTTACATATCATCAGATCAGCCAGGCTTTCATTCTAAGTTTAGCAAAAGTTTTCTTGTATCAGTGCCTCCAGTGGTAATTAAATAGTGCTTTGGGGGAAAAGAAATCAACCTAAGCTCAGAATGGGATATGACAGCGACTTTGAAGCCAAAACTTGCTACCCAGCCTTGATGTCAGTTTCAGTAATCGTTAATTTCAAACTCAGTGAGTCACTACTGAATTTTTGTATTTAGCATTAATAAACAAGAATTAACCATACCATGCATATAGTAAAATGTATAGTTAGATTCAAAGAGCTTTACTGATGGAAAGCACACATACAGTATTTAGAATTTTGAGCTGCAAGAACATAACGTCCAGCACTTGGCTGCTGACTCCAAGACTTTGCATACTTCTTGTTACCAGAGATAACAGTTTTGCAGATTCAAGACTATGCCACAGTTACTCAAGAGACCAGATTTTTAAAAACCCTCAAGAAATCTTACAGTCTGTGTTTGTAAAACATGTAAGAATATATACAAATATGTTTGTACATATTTTCATATGGGTTTGGGAATATATAAGTGGGCTTCAGGAAAGTAACTTTTGTCTCTTTTTCACCTGAATCTTCAAATTCTTTTCTATTCAGGTGAATCTTACCCTTCATGAGGCCCATAGGATTTTAGATATGGCCAGAGGAAGGCAGAGAAAAGTTACTAATAGATGATATACAGGATGTTATCCTTAGAGTAAACATTAGAACAAAGATAATATAGATCTTATTGTTAATACATACATATTTCTACATTTTGATAATAAATGAAGCAGTATTTCCTTGTATCTGATGTTCTCATACTATATATAACCAGGTATCTTTTTGTAATAACCTGTTGTATAGCTCTATATTATAAATATTTGTTCAATTGTTTAATACACCTTCTGACAAAGTGTATGTAAGCCAATCAGGAGAAAACAAAAAGAAAATTTGTAAAATGTTAATATTTTAAGGTTTAGTGTATATTTTACACAGAAAAAGTTGTCAGATGCTAGTCAAGGAATTTCTGATAATAACAGTGCTCCCAAAGAGAATTTTATATTTTTGAGGCTAAAATTGCACTTATTCTAAATATTTGTGGAAATTTTAGTGTGAGAGAATGTGCAGGAATGAGTAAGTCAACCACTTGGTAGTTGGGGTTGTTGGACAGCGAAACGCAGAAATGCAGACTTAGTCATCTATACTTAAAATAGTACAGAAAGATTTTGAAATGATGTTCATTTTTGGAAACTATTATTTAGAAATACTTTGTAATTCAGTTAGTAAATATGGATATTTTTAAAGTTATGAAAATAGCATGGGTAAATATACTCCGCAGATCTATATGGATTTAATTCAAACTCTTTTAAATAAACAGTACCTCATCAGTTTCTGGTGTAGCAGTAACTTTATTTCAACGGAATGAGAATTCTTTGTCATTAATTTCTGTCAGGTTAAGCATACCTAATTTACTTTATAACCCTATTCTTAAATTTATGGTTTGTGTTTTTAGTCATAGGAGATGTTTTTGGGGCTTAACAGGGGAAATCAATTAAGGGTTTCAAAGCAGTACCCAGTGCTACGTTTCAACACTGTGTTCCCAGTCAAAGACACTAGATGGCAGGACAACATCGTTTAACATTTACAGATCAATTTAAGTAGGAGATGGCATTTTTTTTCCCCCCCCTGTACGGAACAATTCAGAGAGTTAAATCCCTTTTCCTTCGCTTTTTTTTAAAAAAGAATAAGCCAATAATCTTTTGAATTGTCTTTTAATAAAATGTATAAGCCATGTAATTATGATCACAAAACAGAGCATTTATTTGTTAGAAGCAGCTTTTTAATTCCAAGGCATGGAAAGTGTTTTACAAAGCAGGAATGACACAATGACAACTGAGTGATGAGGGACCTTTTTTAGTAATTGAGATTTATTTCCTTTTCTGTAGGCAGTTAATGTGTTATGTTATTACCTATAGAGAATGTGATTCATGATGCCATTTCCCCCCTCCCCCTAACCCCCCCGCTTTTGCTAATCAAATTGGAAATCTAGCAGCTTTAGGTTGAATCCAACCATTTATTGTGCAGCCTGTCTTGTTATGTTGTCCTATATATTCTTGTCTTCTGTCAATTATGAGCTCAGGGAGTAGATTCTAATTGAGAGTGCATGTTAAATAGCATGGTGTATTTGAAAGTGACTGTGGTGTACTAGCCAAATTACACAGATATGAACATTGTCTTGGGAGAGCAATCCTTACTTTTAATGCAAAGCAGAACAGTTGTGATTTCATTGTAGTTTATTTTTCTCTATCAACAGAATTTAAAAAGCTACTCTATTTTGAATATTATCTGTTTGGGAACCAAAATCAGAAATGTAGTTTATCAGAACCTAACTTTCTATCTCTATCCTTTCTCTTATAAGAAGTCCATCAGACTTAGCATACCCAATAGGAAATGGTACAGTCTCTTACGTCTGAAGGAAAGCTGAGAGTTTGGGTGGCACTTGTGGATTTGATTACACCTGAGGCATAGTCATTTATACAGGAGACTTACTCATTCTTCCTTTGGCGTTCACCTCACTGAAGAATTTTACAAATTCAATTTTGAATGAAAATATTTTATTTGAAATTAATTGCATCTAGCAATAACTCTGCTGTAGTGATTAGCAAACTTTGTCTGTAAGGGAACAGATAGATAGTAAATAATTTAGGCTTTGTGGACTATAAAGTCTCTTTTGCAAATGCCCAATTCCTCTGTTACGGCTGGCGTAAAAGCAATCACAGACACTAGGTAAAGGAAAGAGCGAGGCCATGGTCCAATAAAACTTTATTTACAAAAATAGGTTGCCAGTCAGATTTGACCCAAGGGCCATAGTTTTCTGGCCCCTGATTTATTCTGTCACTAGTCTGTCATATTACACAGAAAAAGTTTTAGTTTATTTTTAGTCATTGAGGAGAAAGGAATCTAATACCCTTTATTTAACTCACTTAAGACAACCCCAGCAAGATGTGTGGGCTAATGAAGAGATAGTATGCTAGTAGTGAAGTTCAACAAATTGATCTTTACCTTGGCTCTATTCTTAACTAACGAGGTCATTTTGTGCTAGCCAGTCACCCTCTCTGGACACATTAAAAAGAAGCTAGGCAAGAATGTCCTTTTCTTTTTCTAATATTATGTCAGTTTGGACATTCCTTTTCTTAGGTGAACAAGGTAATTTGTACTGCTCCAATTCCTAGAGTGTGTAATCTTGGATCATTATTAGATTTTTCAAGGAAAATTCCTGAATTCATATTATCATAAAAACAGAAGTACACATTTACGTAGGAGCCTGGCTTAATATAAGACTCCCTTACCTTCTTAGTCTTGGATTGTAGTCTGGCATGTATGACTTTTGAATGGATATGTGTTTTGACTTCTCTATATGTATTCTCAGAATCCTGGACTTTAAACACTATATGTAATTTAAAATTTGCTGTTGATCAAAATGTTTTAGGACGTATTTTTTTTTTTTCACCTGACTCAGCAAAGTGAAAGTAAATGTTTGGTGTGCCTCCTGATTTCTGATGGAATCTATTTCCTGATGAAATTTCTGAATATAATGGAGAGCTGAAGACGATGCATTCTTAATAGACTAAGCTATATTTGGAAAACTAATGCTTCTCACTCTATTTTTTAAAATTTAATTTGGTTGAGATGTTGTTTTGCTGTTTATACATTGCTCAATCTAGAAAGGAATTATGAAGCTGGATAAATGCAACAATTCTTGAGATTCCAGATTGGGTCATTCAAGGGAAATGACTATGCGATGTGATGGGCTGCTGCATTTTCATTTGAACCCAAGAATGGCAGGGCCTGAGCCTGACCTAAGAAAGTGGGGTCTGGAGATAAGCAGTTGATATCAACTCCACTCAGAATTTTAAAATGTCTCTCTGCATTTTCCTTGTCCAGACCTGATACAGCTCATCTTTTTGTCTAAAAGAGCAGTTTCTTTTGTATTGTTATAGTTTTTTGGAGACCTTGAGTAGAAAAGTAAGGTAATTTAATGGTCCTTATTATTTAATGAGTTGGAATTAATTTGCAACATTAGCTCTTAAATGTGTTTTAAGTGAGGTCAGTTAAAACAGGGATGTGGCCATGTATGGAAGTTAGGAGCATTTTGGCTATGACATTAGTACAATTTCTCCTTGAGGTCTTTTGAAAAAAATGATATTATTTGTAATAGTCCTAGTTCACTTGAACATGATGTGTGATCTTAGATGCATTTAAGGAAAAACTAAAATTTTAGAAATCACTAGAATAGGGGCGCCTGGGTGGCTCAGTCGTTGGGCGTCTGCCTTCGGCTCGGGTCAATGATCCCGGGGTCCTGGGATCGAGCCCCGCGTCGGGCTCCCTGCTCGGTGGGAAGCCTGCTTCTCCCTCTCCCACTCCCCCTGCTTGTGTTCCCTCTCTCGCTGTGTCGCTCTCTGTCAAATAAATAAGTAAAATCTTTAAAAAAAAAAAAAAAGGAATCACTAGAATAATGAAATAGGTTTCAAAAAGTTCCAAAGGGCATACTTGCCTTTGAAACCTCCTTTTGACTATAGGGTAAAAAAAGGGGAGGAAGAACGTGGAGCTCCTTCTCCATGTGAACTTGCTTACATTTCATTAAGTATTTCTCGGTCGTAATCGGTTCACACAGAACTGAACTGTTTCAATTTTAAAACATAGTGTTTTATAAATATCAGGAATAAATTTCCCTTAAGAGTGATGTCTGGTAATGAAAAAGTGAGAACAAAATTTTTATGAAACAAAGTATAGTAAACCTACAAACATCCTTCTCAAGTCTTTTGGCTGAAACATTGAGATGTTACACAGCTCAACCCAATGATGGTAATAATACTTGCTGTTTATATAACACCAGTGTTCTGAGGAGCTAAATTGACTTCACAGATATTGTATAATGAAAGCTCACACCACGGCCTGGTAGAGGAAAGTAGGTGCTTCCATTTTATTAGAGAGGAAAATAAGAAGAAATGTGAAATGCCTTATGTACATTTTCATAGTAGGCCAGGAACAGAACCTTCTGGATTTCTTCATCATTTCTTGTTTAGAAAAATGAATTCCTTTCTATGACAATAAATATTTATTTGTAATAGAAGTACTAATAGGACTATGCTTTAGTGGCTGATAGAATATAGTAAGGGACAGATTCTCCCCGTCCCCCACTAAGTTTACCATCTAAATAAGACAAACAAGACAAGACATGAAAATACAGAGCACTGGAGTATAATTTGCACTGCTGAGAAATAGTTGGCTCCTGGTTTCAATTTCTTCTCTTGAAGTCACATACATATTTCATCCTTCGCATATTTTGGCAATGTATCCAGTTAAGAGTTATAAAGCTATTTAATTTGTTTTTTGGTAAAGTATTTTATGTCTGGGTAATGGATTTGTACATCAGTTGCAGCCTGTAACATGGCTAAGTGTTCTGATTGACAGAACACCCACGTTCAGACTTGTTTATTTTTTGATAAGGAAAATGCCAGCTAACTTAGTCCATATGTGCTCTTCAACAGGATGAGGCTTATTCACATGTAATGGACACTCATTTAAAAATAAAATGACAAGGATTATGAGAACAGTAATACATATGAAAATTAGGTTTTTTCCCTTTCCTCTTTTCACTTAAGAATCTTAGTTTAAGCTAACTTTATTTATCTATATCTCTATATTATACCTATCTATCTATCCATCTCTCTCTCTGTATATTAAATTAACAACCCCATTACTTAAACTTTTCACTCAGGATGTTTTATTCTTATTTGAAGGAATAGCAATTTTAAAATATTGACAGTTTGAAAAATACAGCAATGCTAAACAAATATATAAAATGTTCCATTCATATAATAATGATATTAGAAATCTTGTGATTCAAACAAACCAGCACTGGATTCAGAAATTACTATAAAACGTATTTCTTAATTTGTGGAAGAAAATTGAAACACAAGTGTCTTCTGATGTCCTCTCCGTGACACACTCTACATAATTGCTTTTGTTGAGAGCTTGTTAGTCCTTTGTCAAAAAAAAAAAAAAAAAAAAAAAGGAATCTGAGCATTGTCAAGAACTGTGAAGGGTCTGAGAGTTACCCTACTTGTAAGTTAACAAGTTAGCTTGCTAACATTTCATGAATACTGGCAGAGGACATGAGACACCTGGGTCAGAAACAAAGGACTTCTTTATTTACAGCAAAGCAAACAATAGGAGCTGCATGTCTGAGCTAGTTCTCCGGGCCTGTAGAGTCCCCCAGGGGTCATGGGGTGTGGCCCAAGGAATCACTGTGCACAGCATCAGAGCTTGGAACCCTTGGCTTGGGGAAACTAAATCTTTTATAATGTGCAGTAAACAAACCTACTTGACCTTTTCCTAGAAGGGAGAGATTATTTTTATTATACTGGACAATAAGTAAACCTGCCCTCTCCTCCGGAGGGAGATACATCTCTATTGCCCAAGGCTGTTTGTTTTTCAAATATCATTGAAAAGATAGCCTGGAAATAAAGGACGGTTCTGCTGGTTACAAATTGTGCAGAAATTCAAGACACCCACAGAGAGTTATCTCCCAGGAAGCTTTTTCATTAATGTTTCATATTATGATGCAAATTTGACATTTCTGGTTCTAATGTGAGAATTAGTTACTATGGATGTAATCAAGTATTTCAAATTTGGTGGTTTATCTCTTGACTAGAAATAGGAAAAAAGTGGTCGGGATGCATTATTAATATGTTAGTATCAAGAGAAATTAAAGGATCTGGACATGTGTATGCTGTCCCACTACTACAGAAATTGTGTTAGTGTCCCAGCACGCAGCAGGTGATCAAAAAGTTTTATTAGGTGAATGTATTCTGAAAAATATGACAATTAGGCTAATGTGAAAAATCATGTCCCATAATGGTTTCTGTAGAATAAGTGATGTCTAAAATGAATCCGAATTTGATACAAGTTGGTGAGTGGTGTACAAGGACTACATGTGAATGCAGAAAATGATAGTGACAAAAGTAATGATACATAATAACTTCATTTAGTATCTTGACCTTCTTGTAAGGAATTCAAGAGACTCATGAGCATCATATTATTTCATTTTACTTCAATCTGAACAATACAGATGTAATTACATACCTATTAGAGAAGTAGCTATTATGATACTATATAGTTTTACTTAGAAAAATAAATCATAATTATAGTTGTTATGCTAAATGTGAATTAATTTAAACCTAAGGTTTTATTGCAGCAAATAACTACAGTAATTGATATAAATACAGTAATATAGTTTTAATATTTTAGCACCTTTCTATGAGATTAAAATATTCATATTTTACAAAAGAGGAACAACCAACATGATAATATAATTAGGTCCTTAAAAAATTTTACCTTTTAAAATTTGCTGTTTGTGACATATAAAAATATGCTAATGTAAATTATAAGCTGTAAGTAATCCCCAACTGATGTCTTAAAATATTACCAATAACTTACCTTTCAGTATTGTGTTTTCCCATCCCATTCTGTCCCATCCCACTGCCTCCTTTAAGACCCCACCCTCAAGAAATTTGCACATTCCTACTACTAAGCAAGGGTTAACATTCTTTCCAAGTTTTTATTTGTCAGGTTCTTCCACTGAAGAGTGTTTTCTCTTTCTTTATTCATTTATTTGTTTCTGGAATTGTGCTAAGGATAAAATATTCAAAGGCGAGACAGACATGTCCTCGTTCTTAGGGAGTGCTCAGTTTGGCAGGTCATTATGATGGTTTGGGACATGCTGTCGGACTGTTGACATTAGACAAGAATGTGTGCGTTGCTATAGTATCCGAGATTTGTTAGCAGGATCTCATTCCACTAGAGCACATGTGTTTTTCTAGACTCTTTGGCGATCTTGGAGAAAGTCAGGGATGAAATAACAGATTGTCTTCAAATGCCTCCGTCCAGCTCTGAGTTTTATTGGCACTTGCATATTCCTCTGTTTATTTCATTAAGTGAAATCTGTTTCTCTTACGTCCTGTGCAGAACGTGAAGGATGATGGACAGCATGTGTGGCGACTCAAGCACTTTAACAAACCTGCCTACTGCAATCTTTGTCTGAACATGCTGATTGGTGTGGGGAAGCAGGGCCTCTGCTGTTCCTGTGAGTATACTTGCTTTGCCTGGATGTCATCGCCTCCAGTGAGGAAAGGTTGATTTCATGGAATAGTCCTATTTGTAGATGGAGACCTAAGAAATCATTCTGACCTCCCTGTACCTAGGATTTATGTTTCCCTGCAGTATGTTCCTAAATGTTTAGGTCACTCTAGATTTAACTTTCTTCAGTTTTAGGAAACTCTCCCTTTGGAAAAGAGTTAAGGGCATTTGCCAATTCATCAGCCATTTTCTTTCCATTGTAGTTTGACTTACGTATGATTCCCATTTTTTTCTGGGATAATTATGAAAAAACCCACCGGTTTCTCATATTTGTATTTTACTCGTATTTGTCCTTTAATTTTCAAGTTAGCCACTTTATTCGCATTGTCTTCCTATAATGAGCCAATTCTTTTAGGTCTTTTAAGAAACAATTAGATTAATTGATTATTAATTTGCATTCAAATTAAGAATACAAACCAATCTTACACCTCACGCACATGATTTTTAATGCTATCGTGAGGAAAACCTTCCTCTATAGTTAATGGATATTGGAACCTGAAGGATTGCCATCTCATGAGTTGTGGCCATTATTTCCATTTCAGTACACTTATCTTTGCAATTTTCATTGTATTCTGTTGAGTGAGTACTGCCCACTAGAATTTTCTGGTGGAATATATAACAATTAATTTATAAAAATCACCTAAGTATTTTTAAATAAACAATATTTATACCCAAGAAATGTTACATTCTCTAATGCCCCTGTTAAAACAAGGGATACTGTGTCCTCCTCATTAAAGTATGACATTCTCTTGGTCCAGCAATTTGTCCATCCATTTCCTTTTCTGCTCTCTATGGAGTTACTGAAAATATCAAGTTTATTAAACACAGCCCATTTTTGTGCATTCACATTAAATCTAATTTCTTATTTGGCTTCCATACAGTATATGGTTTTCCAATACTATTTTTAGGCAGCAGGGTCTTTGGTAGTATATCTGAGAATTGATTTCCTTTCAGATGTATTCTTTGACATTAAAAACCATGTTTTAGTGATATCAATTAACCACATTTAAGTGATGTTAATAAGTTTATATGAAATTGTAATATGTCACTTCAGAGGGCAGTTTCTGGTGGCCACATTTGAAAAGCTAGTTATGCTAGGACATTCTTTATGTACAAAGGAAGTAATTTGTTTTTCAAGTCTTGTTATTTTTAAAGTAAAGGGTTTTTCATGGTAGATTCTATGGATGGGAGCATATGAAACAAAATGGTAACTCAAATAATGTGAGTGATGTCATATGGAGAGTGAGAATTTTGTTCACAAATTGTAACTGACCAGTGTGGCAAATGCATTACTCAACATTATCACCAATATGGGAAAGAAGAAAAAGTCTGGCTTCTTTCTCATTGTGACCAAAGGAAATCACAATGTGGATATTTTGGAACAGTTTTACTATATGACTATTATGTAGATTTAGTATTTTTCATTCTAATTCTATGTAGTGGTTTGTTTTTGTTTTATTGAGAGGGATGCATGGTCAATTTTTCTTTAGTTTTTGTTCTATTTATTTATACATTTTCAGAAAATGTTGTTCCTTTTGGACAAACAGTACCATGATGGCAAATGAGGGATAAACTTATACTGAAGGCCTGGCATGTGTGATGAAATCTACTCTCTGGAAATGGACTAATCAGCCATTTAAGGTTTAGATAAATCAATAGAGAAAGTAGCATAAACTCATGGGCTTTTATTTCCATGCCCTCCAGCTGCTCTCATGCCTATACTTTGTAAAATATAGATCTCTTCCTTCTAGCAAATGACACCAAGCCATTTGGCAGTCATCAATTTGTCTTTAATATTTCTGTCATCTGGGAATTATTGTGAAAAATTTGAGTGAGGCCTGATTTAATTAAGCATTTCCTGCTATGCCGTGATAGAGGAGTCTTGGTTTTTCACATGCATAATATTTCCTGTACTAATTGGCCTTTTGTATTCCATGGTAAAAACAGTCAACTTAGACTTTTTCTTGATGTAGCTGATTGGATTGATTAGGGAGCAGTGGATATGAAATGAGGTTCTGTTAATGTCATTCTTTCCCTATAAAATTGCAATCAGGACCAGGATTAGCTCTGAATGGGTGTACATGTTTCTTTTCAGTTTGCAAGTATACAGTCCATGAGCGCTGTGTGGCTAGAGCACCTCCTTCTTGCATCAAGACCTATGTGAAGTCCAAGAAGAACACTGATGTAAGTGTGCGGCTCTGCTTACTTTCTTAGGGTGGTGGTTATGGATGCCTCTTCTTATCAAAGTGCTCTTGTTCTACTCTAGGTCATGCATCATTACTGGGTTGAAGGTAACTGCCCAACCAAGTGTGATAAGTGCCACAAAACGGTTAAATGTTACCAGGGCCTGACAGGACTGCATTGTGTTTGGTGTCAGATCACAGTGAGTAACATCGGAAAACAAATCTCTAGCATTCACTCACAATGGAGACTGTGTATCCCATACTTTCCAAGAGTTTTATCTGGGATGATCGTGCTGAATTTTAGACTAAGCATAAAACCATATATCTCCCAAAGGGATAAGGGTCGAAGTCAGATTTGTCCTCACAGAATCCAGAGTTTTAGAGCTAGTGACAACCTTAGAGATTATACCATTATGCAGATTCCACCTATGTTCCACAGAGCTCTAGGAGGTACCAGGAAGGTAATGAGAAGCCATGGCTAGGGGTGGGCGATGCATGTAGGACACAGTCTGAGTAGAATTCAGCTCTCCCTCCATCCCTAATGCTATTCTGGAAGAAATTTCTATTTCACATGTTGTAAATTTATTTTAATCACAGAATCTATGGGCTTACAAAGGGTAGACAGATGAATAATGTGGTCCAAAGATCTCATTATACAGTGAAGACACTAAGACCAAGAAAAAGACAGCAAATTGTCGTTGACCACATGGCTAGGTAGACATGCAAGTAGGTCCATATTTCAGTTCTTGATCCTTTTAAGAACTTATTTTGCCCTTCCTCACAACATGTTGTTGCCTTGCTCCTTCACTTATATCATAATTTGAGGTATAAGATTTTACATATGGTATTTACATATAGTGTTTATAGATGTAAACTCTAGTCATTATAATGATATTGACAATTGAGAAAGAAGAGGTAAATTGGTCTTTTTCTGGGAAATTTTAGGACTCTGCCTGATTTGCATAATTATCAATGCCTGTTTCAAATAACTTCCGGAATAAATGCAGTTGTTAGATGGTAATGCTAGAGTTTTGTGTTTAATTTCTGGAAATTAATTAGAATGTCATTTTTATAATAGAGTACAAAAATATTTAGGGGATTGTTTCCCCTCCCACACACACACGTTAATTTTGTTTTGTTTTTCCAGCTAGTGTATGAGCCCTCCTGTTGTAGGAGAAATTGTTCTTGCTTTTGTGGGATTAAAACAGTAGGGAGCAGTGTTTCAGTTAAGTACATTTTTCTGTAGTGCCCCTTAACCCAATACCCCACAAACCATTTACAGTTTTTCTTAAACACACATATGCATACACACAGGATAATGAGAGAAACTGTGACTTGCATTTCAAAAATACGATTACATACTTTTTTTTAAATGAACACATTTTCTGCAATCATTTTCAGCTATTACTTGGTTAAATTACATTTACAGTTGAAATTTCCTCAGTTATGAAAGAGTTTTGTTTTTTGAAGTGTTTGGTTATTATAATAAAATGTCTGACAATGATTTAAACTACACATATGGATTACTTAAACTTGTTGAGTCCTCAGTTTTAAGAAGACCACAACTGTTTAATTTTTTAGAAAATTTGTATACATTATGTAATATTAGATTTTTTTGCTAAGTATCTATAAAAATATGTAGTTTTTGTTTCAATCTTGTAGAAGCCTGTTTCCCTTACTTTCCCCATATAGTGCATATTTCCTTAGTTCTGTCTTTAACATAAGCTGAATTTGGAGAATATCAGAATTTATTTCTCGTTTGTATTTCAAGTTATTTTCCCATTCTTCGTAAATTTCAAGTGTAATGTCTTAGGTTTATTATTTTTCTTTTTTTATTTCTTAAAAAATTTATGTGTTTTTAAGATTTTATTTATTTATTTGACAGAGAGAGAGACAGCGAGAGAGGGAACACAAGCCGGGGGAGTGGGAGAGGGAGAAGCAGGCTTCCCGCATAGCAGGGAGCCCAATGCCGGGCTCGATCCCAGGACCCTGGGATCCTGACCTGAGCCGAAGGCAGACACTTAATGACTGAGCCACCCAGGCACCCTAAAAATTAATGTATTTTAAATGTGTAATCATTTTGAATACTCTAAAAATATGCATTACTGCCTCTCCTAATACAAAGGCTTGTGAGCTTCTAGAATTTTCATTTGACGGATCTCTTTCTTTCCTTTTTTAATCTCCATGAAATATGTCTTCTGCCCTTTCAAGTCTATGGAAATGACTCTCCTTGAAGTTACCATTGCTAGTAGTCTGCTACTGATATTCAAGGAATCTTTAGATTCTTTTCTTGTTTATATTCCATTTTGTTTTCCTAGTCTTATTTCTTACGTTTTAATGTTCCTCTTGTCTGTAATTCCATAAATCTACATTGCTACCTCTTTCTGACATTGCTACTTATCAGTTGTACATTTATATTTGATCTTAATCTTGGCCCCAGCCTTGTAACAAATTGGGCCTCCCTGGGGCACCTGGGTGGCTCAGTCAGTTAAGCATCCAACTCTTGGTTTTGGCTCAGGTCATGATCTCAGCATCATAGAATCAAGCCCTGCATTGGGTTCCTCACTCAGCACGAAGTGTGCTTGTCTCTCTCCTTCTGCTTCTCCGCCCCACACTTTCTCTCAAATAAATAAATAAAATTTTGGAAAAAGAAAGAAATTGGGCCTCTCTTTTGTAGGAAAAAGGGTGTTGCCTCTGAATAAACTATACTTTTAAAAATCTCAGGATTTCATGCCCAAATTAATTCAGACAACATGCCCCTAATATCTTATTCTTAAATAAAGATCAATGTGTAAATGAAGATGATTCTATTTGTCACTATAGCAGAGCACAGCATAAACTGCAAATGTCTTTAAATCCTTTGGTTCTGCTGAGGAAACAAGGGAGCACTGAGAGGTTTAAGGAAGAGTAAAAAAAAAAAATATATATATATATATATATATATATATATATATATATGGCTGCCAATTTACTAAGCTCTGAGAAGTCCAGAGCCTTCTGGTGAGCCTTGGCCTTAGTTTTCACAAACCATGATCTCTAGAGGTCCTATGGGTATTTGGTTCTCGAAACAAGACTTGCATAATTTTTTTTTGAAGTTCTCATATTTCCAGAAGAATATGTAGCCTTCTTCAAAGTAAGTTCATTCTCTATGCACTTTTGGATTTTTAACTGTAAGCCATTTTAAGGACACATTCATTAATTTAATGATTTTGTACCTAGGTTAAACAAAATATATTTACCCCAGAATATTTATATATTTAGTATAACCTATACTTTTTTCTTGAACCATTATGGAAGATTTTAGCGTAAGGTTGATCTGTTCTTGACCCCAGTGTTTTCCTACTACTACTACTGATTGCCTTTAAACAGACTGAATCTCCTTTCTCATGTCCTCATGCTTCCCAGAAAGTACTATTAATATAGCAAATATCTAGCAGAAGTTGAGAAAGAGATGGGCTCTGGCACCAGCAATGCTAAGCTTTAGGAAGACCTATCTGAATGGAGTCTATACGAAATAGATTGCAAAGAGAAACAAAAAGAATGAAACTTGGCTTCATTTCACAAGTTTCCCCAAGGCTATTGCTTTCTTTTATGTATTATTTTTGGAAATGGGTTGAGTCTTATAAGTCAGGCTGACCAGATTCTTAACATGTTTGCTGTCCAACAATTAAGATAGTAGTTGTTTAATCTTGGACCAGGCAGTTTCCTAAGTTGTAAAATGGAGTTAACAATACCTATATTACAGGATTGTTATAAGAATTAAATGAGTTAAAAAAAAATCTGTGTAGGTGTGTTTAGGGCAAGACCTCACACATAATAAGTATTCAGTAATTGACAATTATTATTGTAGTGAAAACTGGGTAAAATACCACAGGGGCACAAAATCCAACCCCTGGCTCACAGAAGGCGCTCCATGAATATTACTCATGCCCTTTCTCTTTCACCTCTGGAAGGATCTAGTTGCCCAGTCTAAGTCAGAATAGAATAGCATCTGCATATTCTAAAATCATCCAGAACCATGTGGTCCTGAATCTCACTAAATCTTAGACTAAGCGGATTTATTTATATTCACAAAAAGCAAGTATTCCAGCTTTCTCTCTTCTATCAGACATGGTATCATCATGCTTGCAGTCATTGGAAATAAAGTTAGAAGTCAATTTCTTTTATTCTTGTCTTTCACCTTTCTCTCATATATTCAACCTATCACTGAGCCTTGACATTTTCTCCTTAAAATATCTCTCTCGGATTTTAATTTTTGTAGCCATCATTCACAGCCCAAGTGCAAACTCTTAGCACCTCTTAACTAGATTAGAGTCAGAGTCTCTTGGCTTATCTCCCTAACAGAAGGTACTTTTCCTATAATGCAGGCTGCAAACCACCTCCAGAATCATCTTCTGAAAATACTAGTTTGTTATCATATGCCACCTTCAGCACCCTATAATAGTTCTGTGATAATAAATGCAGCCCTCACTTCCTCCTACCCGACCTGGTTTTCAGTTCCTCAAATATCAGACCCAAACCTAAGCACATGACGTATATGTTATTCCTTTCTACACACAGCCCCTGCTGTAGCTGTGAAGAGCTATTGGCCGTCCCTTGGACAGCCACGCTTCCCCCTTACCTGTTACTTTTCTGACTCTATCCCCTTGAGTGTACCCCCCTTCAATTCTAACTACACCTGAAAAACCAAATTAAGTTCTGTATCTGCCTTGAAATTTTCCTTGACACTAAGAGTTCTCTTTTTTTGAATACTTTCTGTACTTTTATTCCATACCAGAAAGAAAGACTAAATGCTCTCCAGAGGTTTCATGTCTGCATATTAAGGTTGTGAACGCTTTTAGATTACAATGTGATCGAGCTCCTGGTCAAAAATACACATTTTTTCCTCATCACCTAAAATGCTTGACAGAGTATGGAGCTTAGAGGAGGTCCTTGATAAGTTCACTTTATTTTTTTTTAAAGATTTTATTTATTTATTTGAGAGAGAGAATGAGATAGAGAGCATGAGAGGGGGGAGGGTCAGAGGGAGAAGCAGACTCCCTGCTGAGCAGGGAGCCGGATCAGCCGCTTAACCAACTGAGCCACTCAGGCGCCCCGATGATAAGTTCACTTTAATGACTGATATATTTGTCTTCTTAATGTTAAATATTGAATTTTAAATGCACGTCTTAAATTCTGTTTTTTTTTTAGAAGATCATCC